ATCCTAGTGGAGGCGCTGAAGAGTTTTTTGCATACCTTCGTGGCTAGCGGTGTGGGCGAGCTGGAGGACCGTGGGCAAGGTTGCGTACGTAGCCGACACGAACATGCGGGTGCCACAGAGGATAAGGCCATCCACGACGCGCCACGACGTGCCCCGATCGACAACCATGGAGTCGCGGAGGGCACGAAGGTCGTCGTGGTCCTGTAGCTCCTGGCGGAGATCCTCAAAGAGCTTGAAGGAAGGCCCTGTGAGCGCACTAAGGTGCGCAGCATCGTCCACCCACCAGGACAGGGCATCGGCGACGGTGTTGAGTCGGCCTGGGCGATATTCGATGGCGAAATCATAGCCGAAAAGCTTGCTTACCCACTGATGTTGAGGAACAGTGGACAAGCGCTAGTCTAGCATGAACTTGAGGGCATAATGATCCGTTCAGATGATGAAGTGCCGTCCACAAAGGTAGGGCCGCCAATGTCGGATAGCTTGTACAAGCCCGATCAGCTCCCTTTCGTAGGCGGCGAGCTTGAGATGGCGAGGCGTGATTGGTCGGCTGAAGAAGGTGAGGGCACATGCGCCTTGGTGGAGGACCGCCCCGAACCCAGACTTGGAAGCGTCGCAGTCGACCGTGAACGGCCTGTCGAAGTTCGGAAGATGGAGTACCGGGGCGGTGGAGAGAGCCCGTTTGAGGCCGTGGAACACTGTTGTCGCCTCCGGTGTCCAGACGAACCCCTCCTTGAGCAGCTAGGTGATGGAGGGCGGCGAGTAGCTGGGTGAGGGGGGGCGGCGATGGTGCCATAGTCCTGGATGAAACGGTGGTAGTACCCCGCGAGACCAAGGAAGCCGCGCTGGCCACGCAGCGAGTGCGGTTGTGGCCAGGTGACCACGGCTTCAATCTTCTCGCTGTCCACGGCGACGCCCTCGGCCGAGATCACATGGCCAAGATAAGCCACGGACGACGTCCCGAAGTTAAATTAGATGTAGGCTTTTAGTGTTTAGGTTGCCGTATGATGTGTAGTGTTTGATGAGCTCGTACTTATTGTTATAACAAACAAAAACGATTTTTTTTTCTTTACAGAATGTGGGGACTCTACTTCCTGCATACATACCAATCATAGAACGGCGAAAGGACACTCCATTCAACGAGGAGCACAAGGCATGGCAGCAACTGCAGAGAGGTCGCTATGTGGAGTTCAACCTTGTAAGTTGTTTTATAGCTAACATAGCCAGTGTCTTGCTTGGTTACCTGAATTCTGGCAGTCTGGCTCTAATATACTGCCCTTTTGAAGGTCTATGATCGTGGTACAACATTTGGCCTGAAGACTGGAGGAAGGATTGAGAGCATACTGGTGTCTCTTCCACTAACAGCACGGTGGGAGTATGATCATGTAAGCTAAACTGCCATCGTGCTCAGCCAACTCAACGTACATGGACGTGCCTTAGTTTTGCCCCTTGAGAAAGAATCCTTGGAAAACGAAAAGAAGAAAACAAACGCACTGCTGAAACTTTTATGTTATTAGTAAAACTCATGTATTTACTGTGCATCATACTGACAACTTGGGCAACTATTCTTCAACACTAACATGCAAGTATGGAACCCTGTTTGCAGAAACCGGAAGAAGGGACCGAAGAATGGAAACTTCTTGACGCGTGCATAAATCCGAAGGATTGGATATAACTAGCGGAAGTTTGTTTGTTGTTCAGTCTTTCGTTAGCGTTGACACCAAAATTTGGTAATTGGGAAGGAAGCGGCTGGTGACCTAAAAAATAAGAAAATCTCCGATAATGGCCATGACTTGAGAGCCGATGAGATATATACGATGGAATCGTTCATGCTCGGAAATTAATGGGAAGCAGCAAAAAGGTCAAACAGCCGGAGTCACCTATACATATCGGAGTTCTAATATGCCTACTATCTTGTTTGTTACATATACGTGATGTATTATTGGGCAACCGGCAAGGCAAATGGAAAAGGATGAGAGCCCAAGTGCTATACGAGCTATGCTTGACGTGGATGCCAGCAAGATTAAGGTAAAGGGGATATACATGTATACGTGCAGACTTGCTTGTTTGGCTATTATGGGTATTCATGTAAGTATGGCCAATTAATATATTTGACCAGTTATATATGGTAAGACTCACAAGGCCAAGCAGATCAACTAACGAGGAAGGGATATTTTAATATTGTTTGGCTGGGCTGCATAAGGAAATAAATCAATATATCTTTGGACGGGGACGTGAAGCTTCTTGATTAAAGGTGCAGTCCATACATGAAGGGAATGTTGCAACTCCTGGCTACTGACGTGGTGAGCATGCAAGATAAGTTCAAGTAGAGAAGCACACATATACGTACACGATACCAGATCGGTGCATGGCTTGGCCCAGGTGTGCGTATGGCCAAACTAATTAAGGAATAATTGATTCATATTAGCTTTTTTTATACGTATATGAAAGAGTCTTATTCTTGTACGCAAAGTCCAGCAGCCCTATAAATAATAAAGGGTCACGACAGGTTGTAGAGATCCGATCAATCAAAACCAATTATTTTTTCGGCTTTACTACAACCCTTAGTAATAGGAGTACTGTAGATCTCGGCGAGTTCTTCAACAAGCAGGGCTGTATCGGTCCGGTCAACCTCTGGCTTGTCTGTAAGTACCGTCATGGCTTATACTTCTATTTGTAAGGCTGCATTGGTCCGGCTGACCTCTTGCGAGCTCTAGTATAAGCTAGTTATCGATCCTTATCTAGTTCAATTACGGCTGCATCGGTTAAGTTCGACCTCCATTGCTCGAATTAGATTAAGGTCAAGTTATCGGCTCTATCTAAGGGTGACATCATTCGGGTAGATTCATTAAGTTACCGATTTTGCTGATGTTCTTATTGTCATTAGTTTCAGCAATATCAACCTGCCCGATCGAGATCAAACTAGATCGGCATCACATCCTTTTAGTCCCTCGTTTATCTTGTCACATTGCGATGGTTCTTACTTTAAACGACGGATTATGTTTCATCGGCTACCTCGTGGTTAAGGCATGTCTGATCTTGTGGAGGTTTGCTGGCTAGTTGAATCTGGTCTATAGCTCACTATTATGGCTGTAACGATCCGGTCGATCCCCACTGATGGCACTTTAGATCAGAGTATGCTAGTTGGTAGGCTTGCTTTCAACCAGGCGTGACTTTGACTGTTTGTTATGCCTGCATCGGCTAAATAGCCGATTGCTCGTACTTTAACGCTCATAATGTGTCTTCATGATTATGTTAAATGTGAATAGATTTGTTTCCTTTAAAAGGTTTAATCTGTTATTTTTATTATGGCTGTCATCGATCCGATCGAACCCCACTGTTAAAGATAATAGATTAGATTTGATGAGTTTATAAATCTGTTCGTATTAAATAGTCGATTATTCTCATGCTATGATCCTTTTTCTACTTGAATCGGCTATTTCAGTTGATTCGCCTGTGCTTTGACATATATAGCATGTCTTTCAGAAACCTGTAAACGTATAGATGGTTTTATGGATTCTTTGGCTTTAGTTTGTTGTTATCATCATAGCTGCATCGATCCGGTCGAACCTCACTGTTGATGATAGCAGATTAGATTCAGATCGTTTGTATATTCATTTGTACTATACAGTCGATTTTGTTCGCATGTTATATCATTTCTCGTTAAACTTATTGGCTCAATGCTTTACACTGGTTATATTTATCTAACTGATGATATTACTTATATCTGGGTGCATTATATCTGTTACTGTAAAATCAATTACGACCCGCGAGCTTTACAGTCCTTAAAAGTCGATTTCTTCTCATATCGGCTATTTAGTCGATTTTTTCGTCTGGCTGCTCCCGAAGCGGTACACTTGGAACTGTCTGGGCAAAACCGGTATGTTCCACCTTAAATTACTAATAAACTTTCTCTCCTTGTCAATTGCAAGTCAAATTGATTGGCACGCCTTTGGAAATTCGCAGGATCGGCTGGTCCTGCGTTGAAGCCAAGCGGATCTCCAGGCTCATCCCAAGTAGATTCTTCCGGCTTGCTGCGTGTCGACACATTTTTGTGCCGACAGTTAGCATTTCTCTTTCTGTAGCTTTAAGAGCTCCGGATCATGTGTAGTTTCATTTTTTTTTTGTACCCGTAGGATCGTGAATAAATATTATGTAATCCTGTAGTTGTTTGTATCAACGTTTCCCCCGTGTGAATGAGAAAGAACAACGGCGGTTTCTTTTCGTGCTCTAGGTTTTTTGTGTGAAAAGAGGATTCATATTTTAAGCACTTTATCCCTTCACTCTGATAAACGGAAAGATTCAGATACTAAACATCTTATCACTTCCTGAGCTTCTTCTTTTTTAATTATTGAGAAGAGTCGTGACCCGCCCAGCTTACTACTAGCCTAGTACCAACAAATATTGCAGGGCAACGTCAGGACGAAAAGGAACCGATGCCACTCTATAACAAGAATACATAGGAGCTCAGCTCAGGCTGCTAACCAACGAATTTGACAGTGTCATGATTTCGTCAGTAATCCAAGGCTGTCAGGTACCTAGTAACAAGATGGATCAAATCTCCTTTGTATATGTCTCATCATTATCAAAGATGATGTAAAATTTGAGGCAAAGGAGACCATGAAATTGCTATAATCTATTTTCAGGGTCTTAATATGTCTGCATGTGCTTTCGAAGAACGTTTCTAGTGCTTGCAAAGCCGCTTACTGACGTACAATCCAGGCATTGTTAAAAGAATCAGGGATTAAAGGATGCACGCAAACTCAATGACAAGTCCGTTTTTACAGCATAGTTTTAGAGTTGTAAGGCAATATTTTGCAGCATAGTTTTATAAAGCTGATCCAAATTTGCCTTCAAGTTGTGAGACCTGAAGAAAGCTGCTAGCCTATTACATAAACCAGGTAGCATATCACTCCACCGTAAACTTTCGCACTGATGATCGAATAACAGTAGCTTAACAACCGCAGTAAATGTAGAATACATATGTTTTGCAGTAGGACTGACTAGCCGAACTTGTTCTGAATGTCAGTGCCTTCGAGCTCACCTTCCAAATGTAACATCTTCTCCATCACCATGAGCAGCTCGGGCCATTCACAATACAGAGTTTCCTCAATGTCGTCGTCGTTATTGTACTGATGCAAGTGGCTCCTTACATTTCTGTTGAGGCGCAGTAGATCAAGTGGAGTCCTTTTGTACTCGTTTTGGACACCATCAACCCACTGTTCGATTTTTGTATTTGCCTTGGCAGTATCCAACCAGTCGTTCTGGTAAGGGAGGCTAGAGAGTATCCTCTTCTTCTTTGCTGTGTTTGTACGGCCAAGAGATTTAACAATTTTATTGTGTAGCATCAGGAATACCTCAGTGCTGTGAACACAAGTAACAAGATGAGACTGGCGGCAAAGACGATAAGTCGACAACACTGAGTCAAAGAATTACCGGTTTTTCATGGGCAGCAGCGCAACATTGTTTACAATCAAGAATTCATCTTTCATTGCAAGGGTGTCCCTCTTCAAGAGCATGAGGAATTCCACGTAGTCCAGAGGCAATTTGGTGATATCCCCAGCCGATAATTTAATCAACATAATCAGGACCTTGAAAAGGTGCTTGTAGTCATCTCTCACACGCTCAATACTGAAGCCTTTACCAGTGAAACTGACCCCCCTGAGCTTGACACTCCCATTGTCCCCAATCCAGACGTGGGACACCTGCAGAGGAGCTGTGAGGTACTTGCCAACTGAGTGCTGGCTCCTCAGTATCAATGCAAGTTTTCTGCTGATCCTAGTCGCTTTGTCAGATAATCGCCAGAATTTCTTCGTTGTTCCTAATATTGGGACCTGGATCAGCATCTTGTTGGCTATGGCGAAGCTCAATGAGTCGCGCAGACTCTCTGCAGACGACTCGTCAATGTCCTCGGTCCTAGGAACACAGAGAGCAAGATGAGTCTGGCCACAAAGACAATAAAACTGAATCGATGGAGCAGGGAGAAATTTCTCGCAATTATCTCGAATGTCATTATGCGAAGTGCCCAAGTTTCTATGGCGTGCCGCCTATATCATGCTTGGTGTTCCTCCTCCGCTCAGTTCAGAACATTTGTTCACTAACTGGCGGCGCTCATTTGGGCAATTTGGCTACGAGAAATGACACTATTTTTTATAAGTGCAGACCAAAATCTTATTTTGCAGGTTTTATACTCACTGGCTGTGGTGTAGGGCTCTGTTGCAACACACGGCTGCTGTGTTGGGCTATGTTGTAGCACGCGGATGACCAAAGGAATGATTTGGTTTGGATATGTTAGATCCTAGAGTCAAGTACTATGCAGTTCTTCGCGTATCATGGATGGCCTTTTTTGTTTCAGATTTCACAATACTACTGTCCCCTCCATCCCAAATTATAAGTCATTCCAATAATCTTGAAGAGTCAAAGCATCTCAAGTTTAACCAAAATTATAGAAAAAATTACAAAGGTTTATGACATCAAATAGATATACTATGAAAATATAATTAATGAAGAACCTAATGACACTTAGTTAGTATCGTAAATGTTATTATCTTACCGTATAAATTTGGTCAAACTGACTTGTAATTTAGGATGGAGGGAGTATTTTGGTTCTTAGTGTGTGTGTGGAACTTTGGTTTGCTTGTAATAAATGTGGATCGATGCCTTTCTTTGAAGCGGACGGAAGCCGCGACCTTTTCATTATCTAAAAATCTGAAGAAGCAACAAAGAGCAGCATCTTACTTGTATTGATATTGAGAAGCCACCACTCTGTTGGCAGGCACCCCATTGCTCGTCTCCTGGTGTCCAGTGTTTGAACCAGCAGCACCTTGCCGCTCGGAGAGGAGGGAGCTGAATCCGGCGACGGAGATGCGGCCGCCGGGAGCCGCGACGGCGGCAAAGTCCGCGGGGGAGGTGAGTTCCCGGAAGGAGCCACCGCCACGGGGTGCGACGGCGGCCTTCGCGGCGGTCGGCGGAGGCGGGTCGTACTGCCGCGTCCATGACGCGTGAGGCCGGGGCCCGCACGTTAGTGACTCTACGTCGGAGGGCCGTACGTCAGAGGATCCGCAGCACTGCCGAAAATATCCAATCACGCACACGAAGCGGAAAACATTCAAGTGAAAAAACTGCACGAGCTGCTATGGTCTCAGTAACAGCAGATTGGTTCATGAGGATCCTCTTCCGTTTCTTTTCGAGAAAGAACAATCTCTTTTTTATTATTAAAAAATAAATCTATTGTCATGGGAAGATCGTCAAAGCCTGAGATCCCTCGTATTCCTAATCCAAATTAAGACAAGCGCACATAAGGCGATCTACACGATTTGTCAGAGGATCGGATGACCTTGGTCAAAAAGAAAAAAAAATCACAACCTTTGATCCTGGGAAGGTAAATTTTACTAAGCATTAAATGTCAATCTAGACTCTGGAGCTCTGCATATGTTGTCAAGGATTTAACTTATTATTATTACTGTACTAAATTAAATGGGGACATATGGAATTGAGACCACCAGCCGCTGCAGCCGGCAGTGTCCGAACAAGCACACACACGATAGCAGGACCCTAAAAGGGCAAGGAGACGAGGGAAGAACACTGTATGTTACTGGCAATATTTTGTGAACACTGATATGGATTCGAACCTGCATCAGGCAGCCGCCGACGGCGAAGCCGAGGACAAAGCCGAGGACGCCGAAGCCGAGGGTGTTTCCCATGGTGGATCCTGGATCGCTATCTAGCCGCTGCTGCTTCACTTGTTCAGCTACCGAGCTTAGAGCGAGCTGCAAGAGGTGAGGGAAGAGTAAAGGGAAAGGTAGTGGGACTGGAGAAGACAGAGGATACTAGAGCGGAGACCATCCAGTTCGGTACTGCTTGCTGCCGCTGCACCTGCAGCTGCTGCAACTAAGCCCCGTCTGGTATAGCTCCAGCTTAAGAAAATCCGTAGATTTTTTAAGCTCAGTATTTGTACGTTCATAAATTCGTGAAGCTGGAGCTGTGACCAAATAGAGGCTACTTATATTCTCATTTTAAAGAAAATAAGAATATTTAAATCCATTTATTTTATCCTACAAACCCCAGCTACAGCATGAATCTCGGTTCTAGCAACTGGACTCTATAGCAGCGGCAGCAGCTGCAGCTGCAGCGGCAGCTAGCAGCGCTGTGCAGCATGCACAAACGAACAAAAGTGCTTTTTGGCCAGACAACTTTTTATTAAGGCCCCATTTGGCAGGGCTTCACTTCACTAGTGAAGTCATTTTTTTTTGCTTCAGCTCCACGAACAGTTCCACCGGTGGAGCTGAAGCGGTTTTGGTAAACCGTTTGGCAAAATGGCTTTCTTGTGAGAGTATGTTTTTAGGGGCTTGGAGGAGGAGCCGGGAGAAGCCACTTTTTTGGCTCCATCCCACCCCAAATCACTGTGAGAGCATGTTTTTAGGGGCTTCACAAGTGAAGCTATTTTACTTTACCCCGTTTGGTAGAAAACGGCTTCAAACGACTCCCGAAGCCGGTGGAGAAGCCCTGCCAAACGGGGCCTAAATGTACATGAAAAAGTTAGCACGAAGATTCTCTGCCCCAAATTTTTTTATAGAGTTAATGTCATATAACTATGGTTATATGTGCCTTACTATCAAGAAACTACAATTTTTCATAGCTGTATCATAGACCTTATAACTATGGTTATATGGGCGAGGCCAGCGGCGGCGGCCAAGCAGAGGAGGGAGAAGGGGAGGAGAGGAGAGAGAAGGGTGGTGGGGCCCACAGGGGGTAAAATCGTCTTTTCGCATGGCAGTTAACGATCCACGGACGGAAAATCCAACGGAGTGTCATATAAGGAATGAAAGTTGAACTCGGTGTCAAATAGGGAACGAAAATTTTTTGAGGGCAAAGAAAAGAACGAGTCATTTCTCTGATGTCAAATAAGAAATTCTCTCATTACCTTTTGTGGCCCGATGCAGCGATAAAGGCGAATTAAGATAGATCAATTAAGGGGTGTTTGGATCCGGCACCGGCTGCTAAAATTTAGAAGGTGTGTTGGGAGGATGTTGCATGGGTGTTCGGATACTAAAAAACAAATTACATAATCCGTCAGCACTCCACGAGACGAATTTACTGTAGCAAAACATTGTTAAATAATAGACTAATTAGACTTAAAAGATTCGTCTCGCAAATTAGTCGCAAACTATACAATTAGTTTCGTAATTAGTCTATATTTAATACTCCATGCATGTGTTCAAACATCCGATGGAACAGCGACTAAAATTTAGGGGGCAACCAAACACCCCCTAAGAATCCTAGAACATCGTACGTCCTTCGGGCGCCCTACAATGATTCGATGTAAAAACAATCTACGACCAACAGATACCACCAAGATACTAAAGATAGATCAATTAAGAATACTAGAACATCAGACGCCCTTCGGGTGCCCTAAAAATCAGCCTGTTCGCTTGGTCGTAAACGATCGTAAATTTTCAACCGGAACAGTATTTTTCTCTCACACCAAACCAGCTAGCAGTAATAATCCACGATCGTTCAGCCCCAGCCGAACAGGCTGAATGATTCTAGGAAAAAACAATCTACGACCAACAGATACCACCAAGATACTAAGCATAATTTTCACCACTATTATCATAGCATCAGATTAAAATAGATCAGAGTGGAGTATTAGATACTTAGCACAAATCATGAAGCATTTGCATATAACACGAGTTGTATGGCCATTGCAACCGCTACGGTTCTGTTCAGCCGTAGATTACATGATCCTTTGTTACATGTGTGGCTATGATCCTTCATTACATGTATGGCTACCACAGCCATTATGGTTCTATCTGGACATACATTACATGCCCATCTGTCACAAATGAGCTTGAATTGTTGTAGAAACTTCTTTCTACATCTATTAGTTGCTGCTAGTTAGTATTTATTTAATTAGTGTCTGCTTGAACACAGAATCATAAGACGAAATGAAATAGTCAGCCTCAAAGCATATAAGATCAAGTATATCCCATCATCATATTCACTCAAAGCATTAGGGTAGGCTTCATTGTAATCCTCAATCTACATTTGTGAGAAAACGACCAGATCAACAAGACAAGAGATCAGCATAAAAAAAAAAGGGGGACGGTGTGCCCAAGATGAGCAATTAAATGACTCAGGCAGAACAATGACAGAAATAATAGGCAAGCTAGAATAAATGATGTGAAGTACAGGGCCTTGCAAGATTTCATCTACAGGGAAAACGAAAGTAGCTTTCAAAGGATAACTGCATTGCCATTTGGAATCAGTACTCCTTATCTGAGAACAGAGAAACATGCAAGTGTAGGGTCAGGGGCAGCTAGCATCGGATTGGCACAAGTCCACTGCTTCTGTGCATAAGTATA